GCATTGACGAATGCACCATGCAGCTGACCGCATGCAAGTCCATGGAACGAAGATACTAACAGCGTATACAATTTATTTTGTGAACAGAAAGATGTTCGGCAATGGCCGCCCAGCAACGGTTCTGCCTTCCGAAATCGCTAGCTATATGAATGAGCTGAAAAGGTTTAACATCAAGTTACGGTTCACCGCACCCTGTCACCCTCCCCCAAATGGGCTAGCTGAGCGGAAGATAATTTAAGAGACATAAACCAACACATTAGCATGTGTACCCGCATTCAAGGTGATTGTAAATGCCGTCTGTAGGCGGTAGTGAACCACACCACAACCGTTCATGCACAGCCGGCCTGGGATGCACTACCGGTGTAACTGGAAGACCGACAAATCACCGCGTTGGCATTAAGATGAACACAAAGCTGCAAGAAACAAGAACAGAGCATAGTAGGTATATCAACATATAATGAATAAATGAACATAAACGTCAATGAGCAACAAAATACAACGTTACCAGAAATGGATATCTGTGTCCTGGTGAAAAAAAGACCCAATCTGAAAGGTGTACTGAAACAAATTTTAAATATTTCCCATTATCTCTCTAACCATAACATTGCAGTGTTTTGGTTAGAGAGATAATTGGAATTGGTTAGAGAGATAATTCGACACCATGGTGTGGAGAACCCTAAAAAGAGATTCGTGGTGTCTGGGAGTGCATTCGATATAATTTTATTACCACTGCCATAAAGAAAAATCACTTTTGTTTTCGATATCGAGAGGCCCGTTTCGCAGTGACGTGTAAAGGCAGTCTGGCATTACGGTCAGCAAACATCTATATTCTGGCAGCCGCTTTGTAAATCGCGCATGGTGCAAGAAAACACGATGAATTAATTGTCTTCCAGCGACTATGTATACGTACGATAGCGATTTCTGCGATTTTGCAGGTAGTATATAGACTTGGCATAACCAATGAAAGTTGCTGGCTCGTCTGATAATGTTTATTTCGGAGGGGATGACTTGCATGTAGCTGACGAAAACGCTAAATTCTAAGCAGAATATTTCATATACATGTTGCTTGGCTCCGGCGTGTGCAGGGCGTTCACATTGCACACTGAAGAAACTAACAATGCCCCCTTTCTGTCCTCAAAATTGTGTATACTCATTTAACGCGGCCTACAACGGGTCATTAGGTGTTATCATGAAAGACGGCAATTAAGGCAACAAACACACTTGAAGAGCATATGGTACATTGGTCTCAGTGACACCACGGAATTGACTACCATTCAAATATATTCAAGTGTTATCGCAGGAGGAATGCAAACCATGCTTGCGTGAATGAAGGAATCGGAGCGGCCTGCAGTTAGATGAATTCGGAACGAAACAAATGGCAGGTATTGGGAGGGGGGGGGGGGGAGAAAAATGAAGAAGCGAAATCAAATTAAGAGAAACCTCTTTTGTTGAGCGAATAAGGGAAGTTTAGATAATAAATTAATAATAATAATAATAATAATAATAATAATAATACATTAATGTACCCTTTCAAGTAATGGCGAAAAAGCGCGATTGGTTTACCGTAAACTCCTATACTTTCAATTGGTACTGATAAAGAACGAGATAAATGCAGCAGAGAAGTAAGCAAAGGAAGGTACAGGCGACACTATTTTTTTAATCTACTGTAGCAATTACGATGAAAGAAAAAAAAAACAGTTACTGAATATCCAAAACAATGTCACCGTTTGAAAGCAATTGATCGAACTGTGATATTCATTACGTGTATATACAGAAGCTCAGTGGGTTTACGACACTTCCTTCGCATGTCATACACCATGCCAAAAAATTGTAACTTCCAGGTCAAACAGAGCATTGAATGTATTTAACCATGCACCTCCCCCTCCGTTTTTTTTATAGGGGAAGGGGGTGGCATCCACCAACCACCAATTTGGGGTATTCGGTGACAAATAGAAGGAGAGAGTTTATTATGCATATGCGTGTGCAAAAAAATGGGCCGCAAAAAATAGTTCAATATAAAATAAGCCCTATAGAGTTCACCGACTATAAACCCTGCCCACGACCGTCATTTGGCTGTGGCTTGTGTGACGTCATGTGCTGGATGGGGGGGAAATCATGGTCTGCTACCAAATCAGCCACCTTAATTACCAGACGTGGTCACTATTTACTGCTGTGCCCCGTGGCATTGTTTCAGTTGCTGCAAAATATTTTGATTCTCATCTACATAGGAAGCTGAACAAGCTGAAACGGCATGGTTGCAGGCGCAGCTGATCGGAGGACAAAGTGGTTCACTGGAATGCAGACGCTTGCACAGACAGCACCTCAAATCGTTACGTCATGGCTCGTGAACTGGTCAGTGTTGCCCCGACTCTCAGCACATTCATGTATTTACAAAAAAAATATTCAATTATAAATCATTCCGATAAAATTTCGCCCAATCCGTGTTGAACTCACAAGTATTAACCTATACGTAACACAGCCCCGCCGCGGATATAAGGTACTCAGCCGCTGACCCGCAGGTCGCGGGATCGAATCCCGGCTGCGGCGGCTGCATTCCCGATGGAGGCGGAAATGTGGTAGGCCCGTGTGCTCAGATTTGGGTGCACGTCAAAGAACCCCAGGTGGTCGAAATTTCCGGAGCCCTCCACTGTACGGCGTCTCTCACAATAATATGGTGGCCTTGGGACGTTAAACCCCACATGTCAATTAATAAACCTACGTAACACAAATTATGACCGAAAATTGCATGTCATGGCCCCTTCAATAACTACAATGGTGCAACTAATAATTCGATGTCCCCTTGCGTTTTTTCCTATACGACCCGAAAATGAAAGCCAGGTGCTTTTTGTTATAGGGACTTTATACAGCGCAGGAAACGATGAGGGACCAGGAAGAAACGCATGCAGACGAGCGCTGTGTGCTTCCTTATCGTCTTTTCTTGCACTATTAGTCACTCTAATAAACCACCAACTTGCCCAAAGATTTCCATTCTTTTTATACAGTGTTTACACCCCCCCTCCCCCCCAGGAAAGATGCATCGGTGGTGGTTTTCCGGGATCGGCTCACTTTTGACCAAGCGATGATGTCATTTGATGATTTCGTTATGTGACGTCATAGGGTGATCTTATCACATGACAAATATTTTTTGCATCACTCGCGTTGACGGCGATACCGGTCCCTTTTGGCGTTTTGATGATGGATCAGAAACTTCGCCTTAATATAGGAAAAAAAGCCGAAGGGCACTCCCTCGAGAGGAGATGCTCGGCGGATTTCCGTCCGCGATGTACTCTCCGACAGCCACTCACACCAATCGGGGCCCCGCCAACGGACTTCTCTAACCACCTCTCAATCTTTTACTTTCCTCTTAATCTTTACTTCTTTCTTATACCCTGTTTAATCCCTCCTTATCTCATTGCCTCGTGAGCTATATACGGCTGAGGAGTCGCACTCAGAGGCAGACAGTTTCTGTTCTTTTCGCTTTTTTCCTATTTAAAAATAAATATTCCCCCCCCCCCCCTCCGCTCTTCGCGGTGCACACACGAATGTCAACCATGGACGGAAAATGCCGAATGCCACGAGTTCGCATTTCGTGAAGCGACCGCCTTCTTACCCACATTCCTCTAAAGGCGAATTCTTTTTGAGCGCGTTAAAAATAATATCTAGAATTTTGACGTCCCAAAACAATGATATGATTATGAAGGACGCCGTGGCGGAGGGCTCCGGAAATTTGCCCATCTGGTGTTTGTTGACGTGCAATGAAATCGCACAACACACGGGCCTATACCAGTTCGCAATTTTAAACACGTTGGCCATTGGTGAGCTCTCTTTCTAAGATTTACATAGCTTGTAGAGTCGTTGCTCGGTTAAAAACTAAAGCAGTGGAAAATGGCGTGTCCTTGTTGCTTCATCGACCCTGAAACTCCCTGAGCTTGTGCTTTTTGACATTATACTTGCGTGCAATGATCAGAACAGATGAGTAAGAAAAATAGTGAGCAACGCCTTATTATGCATCTAAGCCACCCAAGCTGTTCAATTACAACGATTCATTAAGAACTGAAGCACTATCGTGATTTTGCCACGCATTACAGATAAGTTCAATCGCGTTTACGATAATGATAATCTATCTTCGTGCGCTTTTTTGTACTGTTTACCTGTTGAGCATACGTGTTCAACTCAGAAGCCAACTTTACGAAACATGACACTGAAGGAAAAAATTTTATATCCAGAGATTTCAGAGGAAAAATATGAGTACGCAAGGCAGTGATAAAAAAAAATAAATGCTGTTATTTTCATTATGTAGCCGCATAGGGCTTAAAGTATTTTCCTCGTTATGAGGAACACCTCACTAGCAGCGTGATCACCTATACCTCCCAAAAGGAAAAAATATATGTTATTAATGTCTCTGACAGGTAGCCTCCCTCTAAAGAACCTTACAACATAATTTTATTAACGCCAATTCGTCACAACCATTCGTGCTTCAGTGAATAAGCTAACGTAAAGAAACTAATCATAAGGAAACGACAAGAGCTACTAAGCTTCCCTAAACGTGCGGAACCGTTGAGCTACGGGGCACAGCGAGTGGGGCGTAGCGTTTGTTCGTATAGTACAAGAGTGATTTTTCCCAGCGCAGCCCAGATGGGATCCATTTGAAGCCGTGAACGCAAGCCTGCGAAATGGGAGAAAAAAGCGAAGAAGGGAAATAAAAGTGAGAAAGAATGCAAACAGAGAACGCGGAATAGAGACGGGGAGGGGGGGAGCGCACATGCGGAAAGAAAAGCGGCGATGCGGCGGCGGGAAGAGCGAACAAGCAACAAGAAAAGCGCCGCGGAAGAGAACACGGCTTCGGCGGGTAGCCCCCGAGGTAGCCCCGCGGCGGCCGCGGTGGCACCGCAGCGGCGAGCCAATGGCGGCCGCGCCGGAGCCCCATTGGCGGCCACGCCAGTGTGGGGGCAAGGCGCCCAGGCCACGCCCCCAAGGCGACAGCGGAGCGCCCCTCGCCGCGAGCACGCCACTCGACTCGCTGTCGCAGCCGCGTGCACGCTGCACTGTCCCGTCCCGACGACGTCGCTTCACTCTTCTCTGTGCACCGTTGGAGCGGGCGGCCGGACCCCGTGCAGCGCAGTGGCGATCGTGGCTGGAGGCCGTTGCCTTTTGCAGCCAAACATGCTGCCCTTCGAGACGCCCAGCATCTTCGACCAGCTCCCGCGGTTCGTCTTCAAGATGCCGCGGGTGGTGCCCGACCAGAAGGCGAAATTCGAGTCGGACGAGCTCTTCCGGCGCCTCAGCAGGGAGTGCGAGGTACGTCTTTTCGCAGTGTGGTTCTCTCGTGTCACTTGGAGAACACCGGTGCAGCCCCTTACTGTCGGTCACTTTACTCAGCTGACGTGTAGGGGCGCACAGAACTAACTGCTGGTAGAGGCCTTTTGGCGCTTCCGTGATGCGCTGATCTTTCGTACTTGTGTGCAGTGTACACCGTCAGAAACTTGTTGCACGCACCGACAACCATGCTGCAGTTAATATCTATAGTGTACTATTATTCATTATGATGATAGAAGGAGCTGCACTGATCACCGCCCCTCGCACATGTGAGGCGATGATTGCTGTTCCTTCAGTCCTTTTCTTGCCTCCTCTCTCATACACTGTAAAGACTTGCGCATAGTTATTGCACATTGTTTCATATTTGGCGAACAGTGTACGCTGATTCGCACACACGTGTAACAAGTATTGCGCCGCGGGTTCTTATATTAAGGACGGAGAAAACGTATACTCAGGTGGAATCTACTGAAATTTAGAACGTCGTTTTCCCCGTGTATAATTTCCCTTAAACGTAAGGCCACTGCGGACAACAAAGGATACTTTTTTATTCGGCCATGTGGACATTGTTTTTTCGTTTGTGGGTGAGACCGCGTACGCTATTCATTCCGATATGTACCATTTGCTCGATGCCTTTTGTCCCACAGGGGAAATGATTTCGCACGAAAAAGCTTCACGTTTTTCATGAAATTAAATCCTGAATACTACGTTTATTTGATATGGAAGCTATACCTATAATGGGGCTATTTCTACTGCACAAATTCAGGATGTAAGAGCTTAACGCCAAACACGGCTGTTTATACAACGCCTTGTATTACTAGATACATAATGTAGTCGGGCTCGTAGCTTTTCGGGGAGAGTGGGGCACTTGTTCAAGGCCTTGAAAACCACTTTTTTTTTTTTAATTCTCAGTAAAACACCTCCTTCCATCGGTATTTCGGGAGGGGGTGGGGCTAGGGCACTCCGTTTGACTGCGCGTCTGCACTTTATGTTTCCTAGAAATAATTAGGCAAATGGTACACCACAGTATCGCGTATAGTCAACGCATTCTGAAAAAGTCACTGTGTTAATGAAAACCCTTCCCCTCCAGAAGTGGTGGTCGCTGGATCTTGGCTTGAGAATCGAGTGAAATACAGCCGTTGTCGTTTGCCTATATAACTTTTTGAGCAGTTCTTACCCACACACTTATTTACGAACTTCATATTAAGGACCGTTTCAATTGCTGAACACATTAGCGTTCCTTCTTTGGCATAGTTAATTGATGCACGTCAGTGTAGGTGGTTCAAACTCCCCCCCCCCCTATATATATATATATATATATATATATATATATATATTATATATATATATATATATATATATATATATATATATATATATATATATATATATATATATATATATATATATAAGCGGGTCTATAGATATCGTGACTAGACCCGCTTGGGCCTAGATAGTGAAGATGGTTCAAGGATGATAGGGGGGGGGGGGGGTAGAAATTTTGACTAAAATGCCATTTGACTGAACGTAGAAGTGTAGCAGTATGGGCTATAGTTGGTATGACATGACGATAGTTATAACGCGAGTACAGAACAGAACGACGAAAACGTCGTTCTGTTCTTGCGCTATAAGTATATCGTCTTGAAAGAAAGCCTATCCCATATGTTATACATGGCTAATTTTTGAAGGGGAATCGATGTCAGATTGCTGGAAATATATTGATACTGGTCTCCGCAATGACTAAAATAATCTGACATATATAGAGTTGCTTCACGGTGACTTTTCGAGACACATCGACCAAATGGGGGGGGGGGGGGGGGCTGTCATTGGTTTGCAGAGCTATACGTATTGTCATTGATCGACCGGTTGTGTACATCTAACGAATGTTACATATCCGTACGCACGCGACAGAGTTAATGAGTTTGCTCTGTGCGTGTCGCTGTGTTTTCCCCTCGCAAGCTGAAAAATATGTCGTTCACATAACTGTGCGATTAGTGCAGAAGCCACCGGTATAATTTCGACTTCCTGGAGTTTCTCTATGTAAGAGCACATATATATAGTGCAACGTGCACCATAACATTCTTACATGTCACCGTTATTGGAAGGTGGCCACAGTGGTCAGATTTGAAAGAGCCAACACGTACTTTGTATACGGAATACAAGAAAGAGATACAGAGGAAACTCTTTATTGAAAGGCAGAGAATTTAACCGGCGTGAATACATCGCTGACTTGCTACTCAGCGGGGGGATGGGGGAGTGAGAGTGGGAATAATAAAATTTAAAATGAAAATTAAAAAGAGTAACCGCTTCGGTCAAGCAGGAAGCCCATATACAGCGGAATAACATTTCAATGGATACTCCGCTGTCAAAGACGAATGTTGACGTTTCGGACGGAGAGTAAAATGGCTTATAGACGACCCCCTGAACATGTGATTGTTTCAACTTGGTACAGGTTTGTTTAATAACGTGTGACCTTTGACGCATGCACGTTAGCTTTATACCGCGTGAATTTGCGTATACATACATAAAAGTGCTGGCGGCCTTTGTGACACCGATTCTGCCACTTCCCCCGTGCAGATTCGTTACACGGGCTACCGGGACAGGCCACTGGAGGAACGTCAGGTGCGCTTCCAGAACGCTTGCCGAGAGGGACACACCGAAGTGGTAAGCGAAACCATCCGTGTTTGTTCAGATGCGCGCGCTGTATGCGGCTGCCACCTTGCGGAAGGCCGAAGAGCGCTCGAGTTTGCGCGCCCTAAATGTCCGGCCGCTCATGCATGGTGTGGCCTTCTACAGTGGCTGAACAAATTTCGCTTGTTTCCTATTGGTAAAAGAAAGGGCGCATGTACTGAGTTCTAAAAATATAGAAAACCGTGTTGAAGATGCATTTTTTTAGTGTAAGGCTGTGGGAAGTCTAAGAATAAAAGTTCGTGGAGTTAACATTTTATTTTTATTTAATAGGTTCGTACTAATTTTGTTAGTTGTCCTGTATTACGATTTCTCTCAGTATATATGCGTCGATGCGACATGCGCGCCTTATGAAAGTGATGAGCTGCGTCAAAAGAAAACAAAAAAAGTCTACGACTACTTTCAGTTTTGCTCATTCAAACTTTTTGGATGTGGTGGGCACGTAATTGCACCCTTTTCACTGGCAGAACTTTCGGGTCTTATTTTATAATTTTTAATTTTACAGCTGTGTAGATCCTTAGTTACTAAGCTGATCGATCGATTGTTACTATAAGAGGCGACGTACACACCATGAAGTCACGTTGCGAGTTGGACGTCCAGCATGCGCGAACATTTCTTCCACGCATGAATTCGTCCACCTCTTAATGAGAAGGCAGCCTGAAGAGGGAGTAACCTAGCAAATGTTCCTTCGCTTCGCTGTTTCTTCGTTTCTCTCGAAGTATAAAAAACATTTTAAATATTTTACCGATATTCTACAAAAATATTTTCAAATATTTAGTTTCCTGTCATGAGAAAGTCGTTATACGTGCGTATTCACCATTTTCCTACCGCACTCCCTGGGCCTTCCTCGCCCTCTTTTTGATGTGTGAATATTATCATAAATTTGATAAGGGAGTATATAAGAAAAAAATCATGTGACTCTATCGTGTGTATATGTAAACCTTACTGAAATTTTGACGTTACGACATCCCTATAGACGTGCAATATAATGCAATTACGGAGGTCAAAGCTGATCATCTCGTTCATTAAGGCGTAAGTATGTGGTTCGCAAACACAACTGTTTTTGATTTTATGTAGAACGTTTCCATCTTTAGTGGGATCGAATTTTGCAAATACTCTTTGTTTACCTGCCTTGGTGGCTTGCCCGTCTGCTGACCCGAAGGTGGAGAGATCGAATCTTCGCTACGGTGGTCACACTTGATTGATTGATATGGGGGGTTTGACGTCCCAAAACCACCATATGATTATGAGAGACGCCGTAGTGGAGGGCTCCGGAAATTTCGACCACCTGGGGTTCTTTACCGTGCACCCAAATCTGAGCACACGGGCCTACAACATTTCCGCCTCTATCGGAAATGCAGCCGCCGCAGCCGGGATTCGAACCTGCGACCTGCGGTGGTCACACTTCGGAGGAGGCGCGATGCTTAGATTTAGCTGAACGCCGAAGAAGCCCAGCAGGTGGTTGAAATTTCCAGAACCCTGTACTATATATAAGGTGTATCTCGCAATCATAACATTGCTTGAGACGATTATTATTGTTAAAGATTGTACGTTTCCTCTTGCCGCGTATTTGAGGCGACTATATGTGATACTTTCGTGGTGACACAGCTGTCATCCATTCGCGTAACACTCGTCTCAACACTCAGCAAACTGTTGCAAATATATATATGGCGTGCGTGCGGCAGCAACAAGTCACTCATTCACTTCTGTGAGTCGCGCGGAGCCAAGTGAGTCCCGCATGCACGCACATAGGGCGAAGCAGGCGCAGGCTCGGAACTTCGCAGACCCAGCTTATAAAGCCGCATATACGCAAAAGGGCAACACTTCTGTCGAAGGGGTTTCGCCAGCGGCAGCGCAAATAACAGATAACCAACCCTGGCGCGTGTTCAAAGGAAGCACACAAACAGGTCGAGTACGTCGTGGCTCAGGGCCGTAGCTACAGGGATGACCTTTAATTGTCTGCCGCATTGGACCTTGTATCTTATCCTGAGAAAGGAGCCAACAGTGCCGGCTGGCTCAGCCTGTAACAGAAACGTGTGCACTGCATGCATCTATAGCATGCCCGTTGGAACTGATATGCCGGCGATGCAAAACTCCATGACTGTAGAAGTGATGCGGCAACCATGCAGTCAGGATAAGGAACACTTACGCTTCGATTCCAGCTTCACTTATTTAAGGCTTATTCTGTTCTTCAATGAGTGTACTCTTAAATGTTGAAAAAAAAAGCAATGTTATGAATAGATTGCTAGTGCATGCATCCTTTGGTTTGCGGGCGTCAATGAGATGGGCAGTCAATCTTGCGATAGTTACGTAAGTGATGGATATAACCTATACATCCTCATGATAAGTGAGAGCTAAGCACCATTTTAAGTTGATGCATGGTGAAAAAAATACTTCGTCATCCAACAGGGACACCGGGTCTATCATACGTGAGACTATGTTTTCTGTCAAAAATCGGACAGCCATCCACGGTGGGCCACTCAGGCACATAATTGTGAATTTTATGATGTGCTGCTCCCTTTTTTGATTGATGTGGCTGATGCGGGTTTTTCGCAGGACCCTCAGTTAGAGCAGACGTCGTGAAAAGAACAAAAAAAAAAAAAAACCTTTGCAATACTAAGCTCATCACTGCCTTTCAGCACTATCAGATTGCATTGCGACTCGGATACTTTTTTTTTTTTCATATAAAAATTCCGCGCAGTGCATATACACAATTTGCTGCAGCGCGCGAATTATTCGTTGATCCACTTACCATCCGCTTTGCTATAGTCTGAGTCATCAGTCCCAAGTGACTTCAAATCACCGGAGCCCGCAATTCATCTATAGCGTTAGCGCTAAGCAGTGACGCACAGCTTGAGAGATTTCATAAGGTCTTGCAACACAAACCAGCTCGCAGGTGGGCAAAATAGCTTGCGCAACTAAAGGGGATCACACGTGCATCGTTATATTTGCGCAATGTAATCGCTTCAGCGTTCTCATACCTGTCGAGCACGGTGTTTTGCAGCCGTGCATTCACTTCTGGCTGACAAAAAGTCAATCATGTCAGTATAAGCAGATCATGCACTGGACTGTAACCCTGTCACCTTTTGTTTCTTTCCGATTGCGCTGTCACACGTTTCATATTGCAGAACTTTTGAATTTTCGAACCTTTCTATGTTTCTGCTTAGTCAGATGTCCAAGGTCTGTAAGCGTGCTCAAACTGCTAAGTTCCGGAACTTTGAGTCTTCGTGGCCACTCAGACATGAAGCAGAAGAAAAGAAGTGCTTCTGGCCTCTCGTTCGAATACCATTTGCAGTATACCGTATATAGCGAGGGGGTGGCACTCAAAGTCCCCTTCCCCGCATTTTTTACAATGGCATATAGCAAAAAATTACCATTACAAGTGGTAGCCCCCCCCCCTCCCGAAATCAAGGAGTTGCCCCCCTCCAAAAAAGTATTTCTGCATACGTCCATGACCCATTGGCCTTATATCTGAAACTGCGATGCTAACAGGCTCAATTGTGTGCGCTGTGATTTCATATTTGAGTTAAGTACACAATCAGCGGAAAAGTACATATTTCAAGGTGGGCCTTCAGAGAGAGAGACGGAGGATAAGAAGAAAGGCGGTGATGTTAACCATGGATGAGCCCAGTAGGCTATATACTCTGTTCAATTACTCCGAGCAGAGGTGTTGGCAAAATATTTTTTCAGGGGGGGGGGGGGGGGCGACACTTTTTTGATTTGAAGTGGGGACAGGGCAGGTAAATGAAATTTCGCGATATGCATGCCTGGGGGGGGGGGATGGGAACGGTGTGCCAGCTCTTGGCTACGCTACTGACTCCAAGAAACTGATAAAAAATACGAATGCATATCGGCACAACCATAAAAATTACTGTTTAATTTTTAATAAAGAAGTGCACATTTAATATTATATATATATTTGTGGAGCTTAACGTCCCAAAACCATCATATGATTATGAGAGGCGCCGTAGTTGAGGGCTCCGGAAATTTCGACCACCAGGGGTGCTTTAACGTGCACCCAAATCTGAGTGCACGGGCCTGCAACATTTCCACCTCCATCGGAAATGCAGCTGCCACAGCCGGGATTCGATCCCGATACCTGCGGGTCAGCTGCCGAGTACATTAGCCACTAGACCACCGTAAGGGGAGGGGGGGGGGGGGCAAGTGCACATTCAAGGACTTTTTTTTTCTTTGTTAGACTAAATATAATTGAGAACAGGCAATGATACCAAGAAAAAGTGTATAGGGGATGTTATTTGAAGTAATTGCTATGCAAATATAAAGAAAGAAAAGTGGATGAAGAGATAACCTGCCGTCGGCAGCGACCGAACCTGTGACCTTCGAATAGCGCGTCCGATGATCTATATACCACTGAGCTACGGTGGTGGTAACTTCACCGTCCTTTTAATGGGGCATATATGAGCACTTAAACAATGGAGTGTCAGTCAGCGCCGCCACTACGAGGGCGGAACACTCTTTTGCTGCCTAGTGGCGTTACGTATGGCATGTAATCTCATGCAAAACTCGTTTTTCTTTGTTTAAATGCGGCAACTTATCCTTTCTCCCACGATTCTTTCTTGACATTTACATTACAATTAATGCTAATAAAATCCCCTATGCTTTCCTCAACATCATTATCTGTCAGTTCTCATTAATATTATTTCATATTTAGTAACACTATTTGGTTCACTAAGTTACAAGTGGATGAATTCCAGCTAGACATTTTGTGAGGCGCATCTCCCACTTCGAGGATACTTGAAGGATGAAGCCAGTTTCGAAATGTTCATTCCCGACGAGGAAGGAAGGAAACAGAAAGGCAGAGAACAGGAAGGCAAACCAAAAAGCTTCCTGTTGGGGTTCCCTAGGCCGGGAATTACGAGAGGGGAATAGAAAAATGATATTATATATATATATATATATATATATATATATATATATATATATATATATATATATATATATATGGGTGTGGGTGT